TAGGTTCTCTCATTTGTAGTGCTAAACCAATATTAGATCCTAAAAACAAATGGCAAGTATCTTTTCGTCTGTATTATTTAGCAAAATGTTATAGAAAAATAATTTAAGATGGCAATGATTTCAATTGTGTAGGTATACACCCAAGTACATGTACTCGGAGAAAACATATCCAAATTATTTATCAGGTACAGGGTATGTTATGAGTATGGGTGTGGCATCTAAGTTATATCAAGCAGCGTTGGTAACACCGTTGCTACATTTGGAGGACGTTTATGTCACGGGTTTATGTGCGAAACGCGCGAAAGTCCGGCCCATGAACCATCCTGCATTCAGTTATTCACCTCGTAAATTAGATCCCTGCGTGCTCAGGAACGCGATTACCACGCATAAGGTTAATGCGTCCAATATGTATGTGATTTGGGTAAAAATGAACAACACGAATGTTTCGTGCAGTAATCGCACTCGTACTGATAGAAAACCGATCACGTTGAGCAGAAGCGGTAGGAATGCTGGCTATTACGTCTTTAAAAGAAAAACTATAAACAAGTGCGTTTAAATGTACTTTTTATAACGTTGATTCCTTATATTATAAGACTAATTTTTTATCGAGCTTCCTTCTATACGCAAGTGGAATCGAATAGATGAGAAGAAAGATAAGGTATGAATCTCTAAAAACTTCAAGGAAGTTCTCTCTGATTCCTTATGGAACTAATTATTTATTTATAAATTTGTTTACAAACATCGAAATATTGTTGGTTGCTTTCTATAATTTATACAAATTATTTTTTTTATATGTGTAAATTTCGTTATAAAAAATTTAAGCAAAAATTTAATCGATGAATTTTCGCAAATCTTCGATTCTATTAGGCTGTGTCCAATTTCCATTGTTAGTTTACGTTTAATATTAAATTTTATAAGACTATAGCTAATTTGCACCGATAGTCTAATTGAATATTGATTAATGGTTCAATGTCTTTTTACGGATTATAATTTCATGTATGATAAACGGAAACAGAAGATTTCATTGATTAGTATATACGTTGATATTATCTAATATCGGTGCAATTGGTACAATACGTGGAGTGATCGTGACAAACGACACACCGAAGGTTTTATATATTTTTCTATTTATACCAAAGTAGTATTTAAGGATACACTGTCAATTAGATCTTTTACATAATTTACATTATCTTTTTTCGCCTCTTTATGTAAGACATGATAAAGAATCGGTGAGAGGAAGAAGAGTATTATTGTGTTATGGATAATTTTTCCGAATGTTAGACTTCTTGATTAACATTTCCTAATGACAATTATTTATATACAGTGAGAGCAAAAAATATTTGTACAAGGAAACTTTTTATTAAAAAAGTCTTATTTGTAGAAAATAAACATTAATTAGCAATATTATACAATGAATACATTATGTTCTTACATTAACAAACGAGCTTCACATATATTCTTGATTTTATATTCTAAATTTCTTGACTGTACGAATACTTTTTGAACATCCACAATATAATTTTTAATTTTCGCTTATTTTTCAGATGATATATTTTCTGTAATTAATACACATCTTTTTGGTATATATAATTTTAAGAAACATACAGTCTATTTCATTCTTTAAAAATAAATTGTTAATTACACAGCAAGAAATGATCGTCACTTAAACGTCGAATCAACGTCAAATTGGTGTTGAAATCATCGTATCGATATTGATTCAACATCAATTCGATGATTCATTTCTCGCTGGATATTTACTTTTTAAAAATAAAGTTTTTTTTAAAAATATTTTCTCTGCACGAATACTTTTTGTACTCGCTGTATGTAATATAGAAAATTTTCTGCGCGATATGATTTCATTAATATTCTATAAGCTGAATATTCTATAGCTGAATATCTTGTGATCGAAGGTCACGTGGAAGCTGTTCACAAAACTTCTTATTTTAATACAAATATAATACTGCTTCCATATACTCACGCGAAACTATTTATATAGGAATGGTATTATAATATTATTAATCTATTTCAGAATTTCCTAAATAGCCTTGTTTCCTAAGCACATATAATACACAAAATAAATACGAAAAAATTGCTTCCTTAATTTAGTAACATAAGATCTGATATAGATATTGTTTTCTATTTAAACAAAAATAGTGACTTAAAAATGACTTGTGCTAATAACGTAATCTCAAGATTCCGTTATTATTCGTAAATAAAATTGTTATTTTAAATTCGTTGGTGTGTGTATTTCAATTAATATTAGTAGAATAATTATAAATTATAACATAGAAAAATATTATTTTGGTTGTATTTCAATTCGCTTTATATTTTTATTTTAGATAAAAAGTTGAAAGAATATAATTATATTTTCAAATAAAGTTATTAATTTTGCAAAAGCATAGTATATTTATTGTGTATATTTTTTAGAACCTATAAGGTTTTGTTAAAAATAATATTTCTTCAAAACATTTTGTAATCATATGTTTTTTTCTGTGTTCTTAAAAAATAATGTACAAGATTCAAAACAATCTTATGTAATTTTAGTCTAATTTCATATTGATAGAATTTTTTTAATTATATGAATATAAATGTGTATTTTGTACGTACATTTTGAATAGATATAAAAACAAACTTTTTTTCTTCTAAAATTTTAATATCGGCTGTTCTCTATATTCAAATTAAAATATTTTATATGCGTGTACTTTTTAGCACTATTACCTATTTTATAATAAAATATAAATTATATATATTTATGTATGACAATTTATATACTTATTGCAACAGATTTTTTTTTCAAAAGAGAACGTTTTAGACATGTATAAATTATACTTTTCGTTTAACTCCAGCAATTATATAACAAAGTGTTTATCGTAAGTTAACCGAACGAACATTAAAAGATGTAACACGATAATTTTGTTCTTTTTTCTTAAATAAATAAATGCTAGGTAGCATTTTATAATTTCCAAGCATTATAGTCGTGGATAACAGTACAATTCGCAATCCGTAATGCAATCGATGTTATTCATTAAATAAAAATTCATTTATTAAAATTGCATTGTAATTAAAAAATATATATGTATATATATATGTACTTGATAAAAGATAAATAGATCATTAAGATAGATATTAAGAGCTTGATAATATATAGCCTAATACTCGCTAGAATCTTCGATCTGAATTCTAATAGGGACTTATTATAATTTAGTATAAGTATAATTCGAAATTTGTAATACACCGTGTATATCATTTTATGTCACATATCAGAATGATTAAGAAACTAAGATAGCAAAGGAGTTGCGAATAGTAAAACCGTTGTATGCTTCAAAATTGATATATTCTTTGATCCATGATGACGAAACGTTGATAACTTAAAGTGAAGATAATTGAAATGAATTCTACGGAATACCCTAGTGGCCTTAGAAAATTAATTTTATTTTATAAGAATAGATTTGACGCTAAATTTTTTATCACTAGTCTCTGCTAAGTCATCATAATACTCGGTGCTATCTGAATGTGAGTTTTGGCGAGCTGTAATAAAATTAATATAAATTTGCAAAAAACACATTAACCGAATGTAATACAATGTACTATTATTTTAGAACTTCTATCATTCTTTACATGGAATATAAGTCAGCCGCGAGAGATACACCTCCCAGATAATAAAGTGTCTAAAATCGGGTCATAAGACATTTTTTTGCGTCAAAAACGATTTAAAGACGTCTTGTGTCACAATTTTAGACTTTGTGTTGTTTGGGCTCTTCTCTTTCGAGATTCATAAATTTTGATGATCGCGTATATAGAAAAAATTAGATACATCATTTTATATTATGCTATAGTACTAATGTTATTTACATCTCTGCGAAAGAGTTTCTAATCGCCTTTCGAAAAGAACATCGATTTGTACATTCGTCTAAACGTATGTACATACAACAGGAATTGTGTGTAAGATAAATGTAAATATTGTTATGTTGCATTTCGAATAAAAAAAACAAAAGAATATATTTTGATGCAAATATTATTTATTAAAAATACATATATCGAATGAATGTTTTATATAAAACAAATATAATACAGGCATTGTATTTCTTTTACTTACATAGGAACTTTCCTTATATAGACACTAATCTTAACAATATAATTTAATGAGTTTCATATTAACTGACATTTGTAATTAGATGACATATTATCGCGAATATATGTTTATAACGATTTAGGCTGTGTTCCAAATTTGCTACCAAGGATTGAAAATTTATAATTTAAATTACATGCACTATAGATTTTGAGTACTGGCAATTTTGGATCACAACCTTAATATAAAAAATAATTGTGTAAAACGAATTATTTTATTAACCTTTATCTCAACTTACTATTATAATTAATTTTGTTTAAAAATTTTAATACAATTCATTTTCTTGAGATTAGAATAAAATGAGTGAATTTACAGAATATAGTCACTATCTGGAAATACAGCAGTATCTCGGCGCTAATAAATATTTACAGCAATGACAAAGCTTACCATCGCATGGGATCATAATGTAACTCATACATGATATCTGTGATATTATTGAAGAGATAATCATAGATAACAATCATAATAATCATACGCAACTAAAAATATTTTAACTTTTTGAAAATAATTACGTTTTAATCAATTCCTGTTGGAAAAAATATATATATTCAGCATATGATCATATATAAAATAGATTAAAAATAGAGCACGAATATGCTATAAAAAGAGATTAAGTTTTTGTTAAAATAATCATATGAATAATAACCGAATAATTCGATAATGAATATTAAATAATACATACGTATTTTTCTATCATATTTATAATTTCAAGCCATTATTACAAATATTTAGCACAGTGAAATTACATTTTATGCATCATTTTTGTAATTTATATCATAAAAATATCGTAAAAATGTAAAAATAAAAACATAAAAAATTATTGAAATATTCGAGTACATCCATATTTTCATACATCTTACTTTTTGTATTTTTCTTTTTTTTAAACAGGCGTAAGATGAGTTTGAGTGGGTACTACAAGTTTCTTTTTAGCAGTATTTGCATTTGATTTGTCAGTAATACCAAATATTGTTAAATTTTTTATTGTAGAATTTAATTCATTTGCCAAAGCTTCACCTTTCAGTTTTTCGGCGATTTTCTTAATTTCTTTCGAAGGGGGGCGCAGATTTTTCTTTTTTTGTATTTTGTTTAAGTTTAGAAAATAGAAGTTACGATTTATTTCTTCTACCGACTTGTTATATTTATTTCTAGCATCTACTTTTCCGATGTGCTCGAATAGACTATTTACTGCCTTGCTATCTTTTTTCTTTTCACATCTTTCTAATAATTTCACATCTCGTAAAATATCAGATGTCTGATCTGTCGATTTTCTTTTAACCTTACTAAGTAATTTGTCTTGTGTCATCTTTGTATGTTGAAAAAACAAGTTACCTCCTGTTATTTTTTCTTCACTTGTACTATTAGAAGCATCATAAGTCATTGAATTATATAAAGACACTAATGTTTTAAAATTCTTTCTTTCTTCCATATCTTGATATAAGGACACTATTTTTTTTAAATTCTTGCTTTCCTCCATATCTTTCTTCATCCTTTGAGTTCTTATTTTTTTGAGCTTCATATCCAAATAGTCCTGTCTTTGGTTATTATTCTCTTCTAAATTACAAGTGTTTAGTTCCTGGATTAATTTATGTAATTTTTTTTTATGCATCTTCTTTGTAGTTTTGGATAAAACAAAATCTTTTGTATCTTCAAGACATTGCAATATGCTTGCGTTTATTGTTTCACGCTTATTTTCCTCGATGTCTGATTCTGCATTACTATCGGCTATGTCATTCTTTTGATCGACCAAAGCATCACTTAACAGAGGGTTAGTATTTAAATATAATGCATCCTGCTGTGCAATTCTTTCCAATTTTCCATTTGATGTAAAATTGTGTTCCGTTGATTCATGCATAGTTTTGTTACAACGTAATCCAACCTTCTGATCGATCATATGTGCACATGTTTTCTCAGATAAGTTCTCTGAATCTGAACACGTCCCAAATACTTTATGCTCAAGGTATGGATTCGTCACAGATTTTTTCCACAAATTATAGCCAGGAAAATCAGTTAGGGCAGTAGCCATATTACCGGTTTTCAAAGAAAACTCTTTACCATTTGCATTTAACTCGACTTTAATGTTTTTAACAGTGTCATTAAACAATCTGTCCCACCAAGGTTTGTATTCGTCGTATCCTATACCTGCCTTATTCTGATTTGTCGCGAGTTTTATGGGTTCCGTTATGCCGTTTTTATTTTTACCAAGTCCTTCGCCTGTATCAAAAAAAGATAAGCCTTTAATTTCGTTTCGTTCTTTGTCTCGTATTGTCGTCGTTCGGTTAGTGTGTTTCATAAAGGATAGGAAAATACAAAAAAGAGGGGATAAAATTGGGACTGAGCCACAATAGACGAAGGCTGCATTTCGATATTTACTGCCAGTATTGAAAATTTGAAGATATACAATACGTACACTATAGATCTTCAGTACTGGCAATGAATATCAGTAATCGGAACATAGTCAAAAACTTTAATTCAAAGTTACGTATCGTAAATTGTTTGTTCACCAATTTCGCCATGAGGCGGAAAATGCGTCGCATTGTTCGGACCGGAAAATTCATGGTTCTTACCTTCCTCCCAACCGTATTTCAACAGTTCTCGCATCGCAAAATTTGCCATCTCTACAATCGTACCAAATTTTGTGTAATTCTATACGTAACACGTGGTTTACTGTATTCAACTGTATACGTATTACGTTGTACATACGATACATACGTAACACATGCCTCGTATACTTCTGACTTCTGATCAGTGTTACCAACTCGAAATTTTCAAATCCGTCATATGCCTCTCGGAAATACTCCAGAAA